TAGAGCTGTGTTTAGTGCAAGCGGCGGGATTTGACAGCTTCTGTGAGTGCATTTACTGTAATGTCATGTGTTACTCTCCACCACTCATATCACGATACATACACTTCAATCACACTTAAGCTTCATTTAATATAATTTGACACTTTTCCCCTCTGATTGGCCATTCCTTTGTGATATTAAATCCAAAGTTTGTTTTGGAAGTCATTATTTCTGGTGAGTAAAGGGCTCAACGAGACGCATGGAAATCTGGTGTGTTTTAGAATAATAGAGTAATAGAACAAAAAGTCTCTTTAATCGGAATGAAATGTTGCTGTGTTAAAATATACATATTTTTGTCTTGATATGTCATATTTACTTAATTTATATCGCTAAATAGGCATAATATATTGTTAAAAATATGTGGATTAATTTTAATACAGAATGCTTTGAATTGATAATTCTCATCTTTTGTTTTAATGTTGCTTAATTTAAAAAGTATTTTATAATTATTTAAAAATATGCATATTTTAATATTTACATCACCTTGAAGTCGAATATATGCTCTTTATCTACTGTGTTTTTAAAAATAATTTGAGTAACTCGGTTTGAAAATTATTTTATTAATCTATCACATAAACCTTTTCTTCAGGCCCAGCACTGGCAGTAAGTGGTCCCCAGATTCTTCCTCAATCCCATCACAGCAACAATGAAGAAAACTCTGAGCTCAGTTTCTTGGACAGTATCTTTTGGATGGCAGCTCCTAAAAAGAGAAGAACCATTGAAGTCAATCGTTGCAGAAGACGAAACCCAAATAAACTGATAAAAGTCAAGGTAAGAACTCACTGGTTCACTGGTATAGCATTATACAAATTAAAAGAACTTTTAATGCAGTTCTGTGCTGTAGTAAACAGCAATTTATCCTTTTCTTTTTTCTTCTCTTTTCCAGCACAACATTGAGCCGTGTCCAGAGTGTGGCAACATGAAACTAAAGCATACTCTGTGTGGATTCTGCTTTGAAAAGGTCAGGAAGGAGACGGCAATGATACGAAAGCAAATCTCCATCATGGACGGCGGACCTCTCAATGCTCCTGCTGTAGAGTCTGTTGTTTTGTATGAAAATGAAAATCCCTCTGAAGCAGATAAGGACAAGAGAATAATAGAACGCAACAGGAAACGCCCTTATTGGTTTAACATGTAACTGC